AACTTTTATTGCAGAAAACAAAAACTACCTAAGTACTTCGTCTTTTTCATGCAAATCTCGTTTCCAATCTAACGAGAATGCACTCGAATAAGATTGCAATTACAATGAACAAATCTCACAGCGATTTACTCAGATGGGAATAAGTGAGTGTTTTTTGTTCGTTAATTAATTCTGTCTCGGGAACTGGATGCGAGGGAGAATTACAAAGAGTAAAAGAGAATGAGAATTAATTGTGTTTATTTATGTGACGACTGAAGTAAATAACTGTCTGCCTCGTTGGCCGAGTGGTCGCAAGTGCGACTGCCGGGCAAGGTGTCTCGGGTTCGATTCCCGGGTCGGGCAAAGTATTACTGACTTTTAAAAAAAATCTTAGTAGTAGCACGGAGTCTGGAATTGTGCCTGGTATATGGCAATAGGCTCACCCCCTATTATATGGGAGTCATAAAATAAATAGTGAAAAGTGGGTGTTACATTGTACAGTGGCATAATGTACACCTCTGCCTACCCCTTCAGAGATAAAAGGTGTGATGTTATGTTATGTTATGAAGTAACTAATACATGGAGACATTTTCAGAGAGAGAGAGAGAGAGAGAGAGAGAGAGAGAGAGAAGTGGAGAGTCTGAAAACGTCAAATAAAAGTTCTAATTTAATCGTTACTCAGACTATTTACTTAACAAAACTTATACTATTGTATCTGTATAGTTTACCGTTAACTTCTTCATGATATTACGGTATGATTCACCTCAATTTGGGTTCCAACTGGTATAGTATTGAGACGTGACGTATATTTTGAAGATGGCGCATAAATCTTTAGGTACAATATCCCAAATAGATATAAGTGCTATCTATACAGATAAATAAAATTGGAGTGTCTATTTGTAATATTAAAATAATTACTTTTACTACATGCATATGAATATACATACGATAAACATACCAAAAATATATTTTTTTTTTTTACATTATTTGTCTGCCTATCTGTTTGTACTGCAAAACTTTTATTAGGCTACTTTTATTTTGGAAACAAAAAAAGTTATATTATAAAATTCAAATTCTACGCTACGTTTGTTATAAATGTGAGTGAAAGTTTATCTGCTAGTATTTTACACTCTCTTACTCCTGTGAATTTTCATATGGAATTCACGCAAGTCAGCGAACACAGGTACAACAAAAAGCAATATATGCTCCTTTTTATATTTACGAAATGAATAATACTATGATTTTTTAAGTCATAGAACCAACATTGTTATTTGTGATGATAATATCTTACTAGAACGTTTATGTCCAGTTGAATATAACCCTATATTACATAGTTAGGTAATAACCCTATACAATCTCTGATTTAAAATTTCCCCTTTTCATTATAATCTCACCAATTTTATCGTTCACAAGACTACGAGCCTACATCTGTGCTATACATATGTATAAGTATATAAAAGAGGCTTAAAGCTCATGTCAGCAGCAGAGGCTTAACGTCAGTTGACAGTGTTTACGCCGCACGAGGTTTAAATGTGTTCATCCTTCAACCGATACCAACAAAAGTTGTTGAACATTTTCAAAATGGAAGCTGAATTTCAGCGGTTTGTACGCTGAAAGATCTTTGGACAGATTTTTTTTGTGAAAGGGATTTTTAGAAGGTTGTGTTTTATTGAATTCGGTTTTTGTTTTTTTTTGTCGAATGCTTTGATGGCGTGTTTTTGCTAAGTGGGATTTCGGATTAGGAGATTGATTCTGAGGTTGAGTCAATATTATTTTGTTGGATTCTTTTTACTAGTCAGATATCACATGCGTTATTATACTTTTAATAAAGATGCAATGAGGTTTGTATCTTTTGTATAACACAAACAATATATTATCTACCAACACAATGAAAATCAATATTGTTATTGTTGAACTAAGTTATCAGTTTTAGTCTTTGCACAAATATTGCAGTACATCGAAACACGTGATTGATGATTACGTTGACGACAGGATGATTACAAATTGTAATTTATAGAACAGTTTTTAATATCTATAATTGGTTTTTAAAACCTGTTATTTTGGAAATATATTATGCCTTTTCGTTATTAAAATAAGCATAAAGGCACTCAAAACTATTTAAGATCGCTCAGGACATTAACAAGTGAAACAAGTGAAACAAGTGAAACAAGTGAAACAAGTGAAACAAGTGAAACAAGTGAAACAAGTGAATTTATTTCTGCAAATAGGCTACAAGGCAGCACTTTTACACGTCAATTTTATCAAGCGAACGATGAGGTCGACATTTCCTAACTGACTACTCTGAGAAGAAATGCCGAAACAAACTCAGAGGTCTGTCTCTTTTAAAGTCCAGAGAATATGTATAACAGATTATGTGTGAGAACCGTGCCAGTTCTTTCTGTAGTGGGCTTTTGAGGAAAGAACCACAACAGTTTGAGCGGACCCGTTCTGAAGGCAGTACGCATGTGTCGGTTTACAGTCAGCTCAATTAACAGGTGAGGCTGACTGATTCGACGAACAATACCAACCTAAAGAACATTTGCGTGGGTCGCACAAATACTCAAACTGTCAGAAAAAGGGTAATTAGAAAAGAAATGGTGAGGCAAAGTCTCGCACGGTCCTAGCACTAACAATTGTTAAATAAAAAGTAAATGTCAAGTTAGAACAACATATGAAAAACAATGTCACATTAAAACAATAATGTCAAATTGCATATAAAAAAAGAAATGTAACTATATGTTACAAACATGTCAACATGACCTGTGTGGACGTTACAGCAGCTTATTCCCAAGCCAGACTATCATCTAGGTAGTCTTTTATTTTATAATAAGCTTTACTATAAAATTTATCTTTAATGACATTTTTAAATTTATTTAGACTCAAATTTTGGATATGGCTGGGAATCTTATTGTAAAAGCGTATACTCTGACATCTAAACGAACCACTTATTTTCTTTAGTCTAGTAGTGGGAACAACATATTTGTCTTTATTTCTCGTGTTTATATTATGTATATCACTATGTTTTTTAAATAAACTTTTGTTTTTATGAGCATATACTAAATTTTCATAAATGTATTGAGAAGCAACCGTCATTATATTAATTTCTTTAAATAGTTCCCTGAGAGAGTACCTCGGACTAAGATTATAAATTGATCGAATGGCCCTCTTCTGCAGAACAAAGATAGATTGAATGTCAGCAGCATTCCCCCATAAGAGAATACCATATGACATAACACTATGAAAATAACTAAAGTATACTAATCGCGCTGTATCTACATCGGTTAGATTTCTAATTTTTTTAACGGCATATGCTGCAGAACTGAGCCTTTTCGATAACTTATTTATATGTGGAGCCCACTGGAGCTTAGCGTCTAGGGTTATACCTAAAAAGACAGTAGAATCTACAGGGCTCAACTCCTCACCCTTAATGAGCACGCTGGTTTTCACATGTCCAACATTTGGTGTTGTAAATTTAATGCATTTAGTTTTAGTTCCATTTAGTAATAGGTTGTTGGCATTGAACCAGCGTACTATCTCCGAGAGAGCACTGTTCACATTATTAATAACTAATTGTCTACGTTTAAGTTTAAATAATAACGAAGTATCATCCGCAAACAGTACTATCCCGTGGTTATCCCTTACAAGGTAAGGTAAGTCATTTATATATATAAGAAACAAAAATGGGCCGAGAATTGACCCCTGCGGAACCCCCATCCTGACAACAGACCCGGTGGAGACTTTTCCGTTTATTTCGACTCTCTGAATCCTGTTACTCAAGTATGAGGTAAGAAGATCCAGAGATTTACCTCTTATTCCATAATGGGATAGCTTCCTGATCAATGTATCATGAAGGACACAATCGAACGCCTTGGATAAGTCACAAAAAATGCCCAAAGCGTCGCTTGAGTCCTCCCACGCGTCATATATGTGATTAAGAAGTTCAACACCGGCATCAGTTGTTGAACGACCCCTGGTAAAACCAAACTGGTTACTATGTAACAATTTATTTCTATTAAAAAATCTTTGCATTTGATTTAGAATAATTTTTTCAAAAATTTTACTAAATGTAGGTAGTACTGAAATAGGTCTAAAGTTAGTGGGGTCAGAAGTACTACCTGATTTAAATAACGGAGTTATTTTACTATTTTTCATAAGATCAGGAAACACACCGCGGTCGATACAATTATTAAAAATTAGAGCTAATAGAGGTGCTATAATAGCTATAACAGAGCTGGCAATGTACACAGAATTTCCCCACAAATCTGCAGTCTTTTTCTTATTTAAGGTATGGAAGGTTTTGACGATATCTGTACAATCTATGTGTTCAAAAGAGAACCCTATGCTGCAAGCTATAACGTTTTCTTTTAGTAAAGATTCTGCAACAGTGGGAGATGAATTCAATGACTTAGTCGTAGATATAGGAATGTCCGAAAAGAAACTTTCAAATGCAGCTGCAACTTCTGCGTCTGATTTTATTACATTATTATCAATTAGAAGACTATATTCATTACTTCTCTTTTTGGACCTTCCCGTCTCACTGTTAATAATACTCCAGGTCGCTCTGATGACATTGGTACTGTTCTTTATTTTGGAGCTCAAGTACCGCGACTTTGCAATAGCGCAGACCTTTTTAAACAATTTAGAATATTTCCTAACATATACATTAAATTCGATTGTGTTAATAAATGTCCTCTCACTATATAGCTCAAATCAATCATCGTTATCTATATAAATAAAAATTAATTTCTGTTCGTTAGTCTCGCTAAAACTCGAGAACTGCTGAACTGATTTGGCTAATTTTGGTCTTGATAGGTTCGTGGAAGTCTAGGGAAGGTTTAAAAGGTGAGAAAAAACTTTTAGGCGGTACGAAGTTTGCCGGGTCAGTTAGTACGTATATAAGTTATAAGTTCAGAAGAAGACCCTACACCAAGCCTACATCCCTACATCCTAAAGTAATTCGCAAATAAGTCTACCACGAAATATTACTTAAAGTAGGTATCTTATAAGTCTAAATTACTTACTTTATAAACATACAGATGCCAGTCTTCTCCATAGCTCTAGAGATCCCCTTCCACGATGCGAGCATCGAGTATTTCTGCTTCGCTGTCAATGGGAGTCGAGGGTCCGTGGCCGGCGGTGGCCCATCACTAATAGCCGGCCCAGCGTTGTTGCCACGCCTCTCAGACGCCGCTAGTTTACCCAACTGGCAACCCATTTTTTCACAAACACTAATACACCATTTTAATTTACACTTTCCACAAAATAACGGCTTTTGCCTCACAACTGTTTTGTCATTATCAAATTTCGAATTCGTATTTCATTTCCACCACACTATTTTACACATACCTAAGTCTTTATTCAAATTTTTAACACACTGGCACAATATATTTTTAATCTACACTTGAGAATGTCATGTGATCATGTTTTTGTGCTTTTTTTTTTTTAGTTTGAAGTCTTTGTAGTTTTTATTATTACGTTTAGTAATTCACTGTAGGACCGTTCTTGTGTCCACATCGCTTTACTCTGAACACTATCATATGCCCTTGTCGCATCTTATTATCTTATCTTATCAGCATAGAACGCGAGCGTCGGCTACCTGCAAAAGAAAATTGGGCTATAATTAAATTTGAACAAAACCTTTTCTGAAAGCCTTTAATCTCTTATCGTGGCTCTTAAAGTATAAAACGGGAAAAGAGCTCTAGATTTTATACAATCTTTTAATATTTTAGAAACTGGGTTATTATGAATTTAAACTCGTTTGTTTGGTAAAATTGTAAGGCGAAAACGCTAAAAACAAGTAATGGAATAAAATAAATCAGTTATCTCAACCAGTTACTTTGTATTAAAATACATTTATTTTTAGTCTTTACATAATACGAAATATACTTAGGCTTATGGTTTATAATAAACAAATACAATACCTACATAAAACAAATTCCATCAAATTTATACGTCACATAGGTATATAGTTTCCACGTGATTGGGAGACCGATTCAAATATCAAAAAGTCAAATCATAGTACTTATTAACCAGTATTAACATTCTCGTCCTTAATATTATAACTTTAATAACTCAATGTGTACAGAATACAGTTCAATCACTACTAAAATTACAGACTCATCTATTTTCCTTTGCCAAACATAAAGTTACAAACTAATAAGTTTAATATTATACCCCAAACTAAAACTAAACATATATTTAACCTCTTTTCATCTAACTCAAACAATAAATTCGCTGGCAACATTGTATTTATATTTGGAACAAATAATAACGAATATAGTTAGCTAAATAAGTTCCATTTTTAAATTCATAACTGGATTTTGGTGTTTGGAACTTTTTAAATGAATAAAGTGGGTTCAAGATGAGAACAATCGCAGTCTCTGGTAATAGGGTACTCAGTTTGTTTGGAAAGTTGTTATTTCTAATTTATTTGCAAAGAAAAGAGATAAAGAAAAATATAGTAACAAAGAAATAAAGGTTGTTTTCGAATGCATTTAGAGATCATACCTATGGTATTTAGCGTGCATTTGCTTTCAATGGGGATGATGACAGGGTATAAAAATTAAAAATATAATAAGTTAGGTAATTAAAAAATATTAGACACGTATTTTTTTCTTTTGTCGTATAATAAAACAATAATTAGATAAAACGAATCAAAGTTTAGGAGTGGGGGCTAAAACGTCATTTCTTAGTATAAAATGTACTGAGAAGTGACGTCACGCGACATTTCAAATCAATATATCGTCGAAAGTATTCGTTTCCGTAAGAAAATAAAAAATACGTGTCTAATGATTGAAAATAATCTACCTGACGGACATTAAAATAAAAATTAGTCGTCTACCCTATTACTTTATTATTAAGAGCTACTATACAAAACAAGCTGTTTGGGTCAAATTTTAAACTTCAGCGAGCTGAGAATTACAAAACAATTTCATAACACTATCAGTGTGACGTTACCGGAATCGGGAATCCCCACAATCCTCGAATTTTTAATCCATAAAAGACCGAAAACGCACTTGTAACGCCTCTGGTGTTTCGGGTGTACATAGACGGCGCTGATTGCTTACCACCAAGTGATCAATCTGCCCGTTAACCGGTTTACCCCAAAAAATCTTAAATTAGTCTAATTCAACGTAATATATCTTTCCTACCGAAGTAACAATGAAACATAATAGTCAGTTTTCTATTATGAGCCTATATTTAAGGAAAATGTTTTTTTTAAACTTCACCTCTCACGTAGGAAGAGAATAAAAAATAAAGTTTTCAATACTGCTCGCCTGTCGATAGCGGCTAGCAAAGTTTAATTGGCAAGGCTTTTCCTACCAATTCGAACTTTCGCTGGGTATTTTTTATTTTCTTATTGTGCTGCCTCAACTGTCAAAAATCTTTGATGGATTTTTAATTTTATGCTTTTGTTATTAGATCGAAAATCTAAATAGACGTTTGACAAAGTCGTATATTTTTATATTTATATTTTTTTTAGGGAACACAAATAATATCTGACTTGCACTTTTTTTTAAGAAGGAATGTCATCCAATGCCTTCTCAATGAAAAAACCACCCCGTTCCTACTGCTGCACTTCGAGCCGGAGCCCAGGTAACCCGTTAAGTCCTTTGTGACTCCGTATCGGCATCAGCCCTATTGGGCCTCATCTGTGGTTTGCACTAGGATAGATAGATAGTATCATGACTTTTTTTTCGTCACCGATTTATGACGTCGTTTATTTATTTTACATGACAAATGGTTATTTAACCGCATTCTTCTTTTTAGCACTTCTGGTTTCGTGGAAATCCTCATCAGATACATGAATATATATAGAATCTGATATTTTACATCCACAACTAAGATATTTAAGCTCTACACAATAAAATCTTCTCATTACGTACATTTTACACAATTCCACAAAAATATTATAAAACAAGTCAACAAAGTAACCACGAATGTACGAAAGTTTATTTTGCGGTGTCATGGCGTCGCTGACGGAATAATATAATAACATGACAGGAATAGAAATATTGCTGTAAAGATAACACGATAACAGGTTTTTCGTGAATGAAAAAGAACGATAAACATATCATTTTGTTATTTTTACGTTTAACATTCTGTGTTGATAATTTAACGTAAACTAAATAAATAGTTTATATACTTACTAAGGCTTAGATTTTTGTTGAAATGTGTGATTCAGTCTAGTTTTAACCGGGTGAATTGTGCATATTTCTGAGTGTCAGTCTCTTCTATCATTTAATAGGTTAGGATTACAAAGTGATTAGGTTTAGTAAAGCTTAGAGTCAGTAAATTATATTTCATCAACAGAAGGAAGAGCAGAGAATGCCTATACGTACAGCAAATACAAAAAACGAAGATCTGGGACTGAAGTCCTAAGTCCGGAGCCGTATTACGTACCTAAGAGCTAGGAAATATCGTAGATAAGTATTACATAGATTTTATTTCCCGCAGTAGTCAAACTTGAGACTCAGTCATACTTCTAATACAGGATGTAAATCATCATTTTCCCGAGTGAATCTACGAATCCAGAGACCACAAGTGTGGAGACCCATGCTTCGGCACGAATGGGCCGGCTCGACCGGAGTGATACCACGGCCTCACAGAAAATCAACATGAAACAACTTGCGTTGTGTTTCGTCGTGTGAGTGAGGTTACCGGAGGCCCAATTACCCTAGTCCCCTTCTCCCGAATCCCCGAAACCTCCACAATCCTCAAATTCTCAATTCCCAAAAGGCCGGTAACGCATTTGTAATGCCTTAGTGTTTCGAGTCTCAATGGGCAACGCCGATTGCTTACCATCAGGTGATCCGTCTGCTCGTTTACCGGCTTATGTTATAAAAAGAAAACTACACTGACGAAAACCAGAAAAAAAATTCTAGATTTAAAATCTAGATACAACTACAGAAAATAAGACATTGGTTTCAATAAATACATTTATTTCTGAATGTATTACTCACGCCAGGTGGAACTCTGACGTCAATGCTCTTTACAAAGTCACTTTAAAATTGTCTAAAATAGTTTGAAATTCTCTGGAATATAGATATAAATAAATGAGATCCTTAACTCGTCGAGTACCGTCATTATAGACACAATAGGTTGCGGTCACCGGTGACCGCTTGGTGTTTGACAGTTTAATCAGTCTCCTCTTGGAAATAATATTAATTTGACACAGAACGCCTACGTCTAAGGTCTGATTAAACTTATAAATTTTCATTTATCATACTCAATACCTACATTTTTATGTATTGAGTGATATTAAATGGATAAGAAGTGCATTAGTGCAATAAAACATTATCAATACAATGATAAGATAATTGTGGAGTAATGGAATGGGTATCTTCTATAACGCATTTATCCTATCTATTGTTATTAATAGGGTAGATACCTAATTTTAATTTAATGTCCGTCTGGTAGATTATTTTAAATCATTAAATACGTATTTTTTATTTTCTTACAGAAACGAATACTTTCGACGATATATTGATTTGAGATGTCGTGTGACGTCACTTCTATGTATGTACATTTTATACGTAGAAATGACGTTGTAGCCCCCACTCCTAAACTTTGATTCGTTTTATCGAAGTATTGTTTTATTATACGACAAAATAAAGAATACGTGTCTAACATTTCTTCATTACCTAACTTACGGACTAATTAGATTTTTAATTTTTATACCCTGTCATCATCCCAATTCATTGATCATGTTATTTTAAAAAATGTTCCAAAAGTAACTTAAACTCAAAGTCGGATTAATAAACTAATACTAGACAAGAATAAACACCTAAACACGAACAGACAAGAAAAATAGCCTACAGTATTTGACCACAAAACACCTGATTTCAACTCACTCCAACTTTTCCAACTCAGTTTGCGAATGCATTTCCTATGCAAGCATTTTCAAACCAAGTTACACTTTCCTTCCTTCTTTCCAAATAATATTTCCACTCGTTGTATTGTCGACGGAAACACGGTGTCAGCCTCGCATCATAAAACAGCAAATTTCCGCCATCTTGTCCGCCGTTTGAAATTCGAACGTTTACATATTTTATATTTGAATTTTCTCGAAAATTCGAACGTGGATTTTAAAAGGATGATAGAGGACCTTTTTGATCCTTGCAGAATAGAATTTCTAGAGCACTGAACTATGGAAATGACGCAGATAATATTATTCTTTTATACACTTACCTATTTATTTTTCAAATCTCAACGAATCACTCAACATTTACATTTCAATTCACATAATCCTGAGACGGCAAAAAACAGATTTGGAGGCTGTCAAAGAACAAAATAAACACGCTGAGGTCGTAGATTTTCTGCCTAATCAGACGTGACAGGTGGGCATTGAACACAATTATACAGCACTTAAAACGTCATTCAAACATTCGTAACTTGACAGTTAGTGACGTCACAAACATGGCGTGACAAAATGGCGGCAACACAATAATATTTGTAACTTAGTAATGGTTATGGCTTTTGTTTTCGTAAATCGCTGTTGAAATAAATTGGTCATGATTGCTATCGTCACGTCATTTCAACGAATACCTGAATGTACTTTATGGCGTTTTCGAGATTTGAGGAGGCTCCAAATCG